CATCAGCATTAAATTACCCAAAACTTACTGTATAACACTGTACTGTTGACATGAGAAAAAGATCACGGGTTCCATAACACAAATCACATGTCAAACAAAATCCGATAATTATGGGGAAAATTGTTGGGAGAGTACAACCTAAGCATGCGGAAGCAGTAAAGAGAAGTCTGACGACTACGGCTAAGAAACCAGGTGTCAGAGCACTGTACAATCAGCACAAACACCTTTAAAGAAAACGCAGGCACACTCAAGCAATCATCATATAAGCTAAACAAACTGCCTTTTTCCAAACTGAGTTGAGAAGCCATTAGAGTCTTTGACTAATTCATGCAAGTCAGTGATTACCCTCATATTAAGAGGGAGGTCTGTCAATTCAGCTGGTTTCCAAGCAACTAAGTGATTAGAATGAACATTTTTCCATACATTAGGAAATGGAGTAAATTACATTTTAGTCGTGGGTTTTTGCATTTGATTACAGCTTATATAATACCAGTAACCAGGATGTAAACATACCATCTGACAGCTTTAACCTACATTTGTGTGCGTATGTTGTACGATCTGCATCTTAAAACATTTAGAATGTATAACATGCACACAGGGACGCAGGTAAATGCTGCTGAATCTTTGTGTGCTTGACTAATTTATCACATTTTCTACTTACTTTAATTTACAGAAATGAAAGCGTGGAGGAAGAATAAAGCACTCTGTCTCACTCCTCTAAGCTGTGCTATGGTAAATCTTTTATTTAATGTTGCTGGTTGGATTTACTTGCAATAATCTTATTAACTGGGACTACAATGAACTAAGAATATACAGTGCTTATAGAAAGTCTTCATACCCCTTCATTTTTTCACATTTTCTTATGCTGCGTTATGTTAAACTGCTTTAAATTACTTTTTTTCCCCACATAAATCTACACCCCACTCACCATAATGACAAAGCAAAAACCGGATTTATCACGACTTTGCAAAGCTTTGCACATCTGCATTTGGGTTTTTTTGCCATTCTTCTCTTTAGATCATCTCAAGCTCTGTCAGGTTGGCTGGGGACCATCGGTGGACAGCCATTTATAGGTTTCTCCAAAGATGTCTGATTGGTTCCAAGTCCCAGCTCTGGCTGGGCCACTCGAGGACGTTCATAGAGTCGTACCTAAGCCACTGCTGCATTGTCTTGGTTGTGTGCGTAGGGTGATTGTCATGTTGGAAGGTGAGCCCAGTCTGAGGTTCTGAGCGCTCTGAACCAGGTTTTCATTAAGGATATCTCTGTATTTAGCTGCATTCAGCTTTCCGTCTTCTCTGATCACTTCCCCAGTCCCTGCCGCTGAAAAACACCCCCACTGCATGATGCTGCCGCCTCCATGCTTCACCGTTGGGATGGTATTATGCAGGTGATAAGCGGTGCTTGGTTTCCCTCAGACATGAATAAGGAATTGAGGTTCATCAGACCAGAGAATCTTTTTTTTCATAGTCTGAGAGTTATTTAGGTGTATTTTTGTAAATTCCAATCAGGGTTTCATGTATCTTTACTGAGGAGAAGCTTGAGTTTGGTCATTTTGCCATCAAGCCCAGATTGGTGGAGACCAATGATGTTTGTCCTTCTGTAAGTTTCTCCCATCTCCATATAAGATCATAGAGCTCAACCAGAGTGGCCATCAGTGTCCGGGCCACCTCTCTAACAAAGACCCTTCTCCTTCTATTGCTCAGTTTGGCCAGGATGCTAGATCTAGGAAGAGTCCTCAATCTTCATCCATTAAGGATTATGGAGGCCAAATGCTCCTGTGAACCTTCAACACAGCAGAAATTGTTTTGTAGTCTTCACCAGATCTGTCTCAACACAATCCTGTCTCTCAGCTCTGCAGGCCATTCCTTTGACCTCATGGTTTAGTTTTTGCTCTGACATCCATTTCAGCTGTTAAACTTTATATAGACAGGTGTGTGTGCTTTTCCAAATCATGTCCAATCAACTGAATTTGCCACAGGTTAACTCCAGTCGGAGTATAGAAACACCTCAAAGATGATCCAGTGAAACCGGAATGCTCCTGATCTAAATTTTAAGTGTCAAAGCAAAGGGTATGAAGACTTGTGGAATGTCATTTTTTCAGTGTTTTCTTTTTAATAAATTTGCAAAGTTGTGATAAATCCGGTTTTTGCTTTGTAATTATGGTGAGTGGGGTGTAGATTTATGTGGAAAAAAAGTAATTTAAAGCAGTTTAACATAATAATGCAACATAACAAAATGTGAAAAAAAAAATGAAGGGGTATGAAGACTTTCTTTTATATAGACAGGTGTGTGTGCTTTTCCAAATCATGTCCAATCAACTGAATTTGCCACAGGTTAACTCCAGTCGGAGTATAGAAACACCTCAAAGATGATCCAGTGAAACCGGAATGCTCCTGATCTAAATTTTAAGTGTCAAAGCAAAGGGTATGAAGACTTGTGGAATGTCATTTTTTCAGTGTTTTCTTTTTAATAAATTTAAAAAGTTGTGATAAATCTGGTTTTTGCTTTGTCATTATGGTGAGTGGGGTGTAGATTTATGTGGAAAAAAAGTAATTTAAAGCAGTTTAACATAATAATGCAACATAACAAAATGTGAAAAAAAAAATGAAGGGGTATGAAGACTTTCTATAGGCACTCTAAGCCTGTTGGTGAAAACAGAATGAATTACACTTTTTCCAAAATGAAAGCAATCACGGCACAATCCTAGACTAAAATATCTATTACAAAACTAAAAAAGGTCTGCACTATCATCAAATATATAAAATGTTATTAGGTGAGTTTCTGTATCAAATTTTCTTAACTTCAACAATCCATCTCTCTTTGCCCATATTTGATGATTAATATACATGTGAATCTGTAATTCAGACTAATTAGAATTCAGTGTGGGCGGAACTAGAAAGTATCAAAGTCCAGACAAGAATACAGCAATCAACAAAAGCACAAGCATGCATATATTAAAACCATGCAAATAATTAAACTACCCAAGTGTGAGTGTGAAAATGTAACTGCAAAATAAAAGAGCGCAGACAGATGCAGTGCAGTGCAGGCACAATCGGGTTTCACATTACCATGACAACTGTAGGCTCTGTTGAACTAACACTACACATCTAGTATAAGCAAATGCAGAAAACACCATGCAGTGGGGCCATGGAAAATTGCTACACCTGCACCGACTGTCCCCAGCACCGATCATTCATATCTGAAACACCTCAAAGCAGTGTGCTGCGCTGAATACCTTACTTGTTTGAACAGAAACTACTGTCTTATGGACACAATTTATCGGTTAACTTTGCAGTGATGACAATTAGTTGGCAGTTGTGACTTCAACAATAAGAGAACTATGAGAGCTACAGTTTTGGAAGCTACTTCCACATTTACATTTATTAATTTAATAGATGCCTTTATCCAAATAAGAAAAACACAAGCAGAAGTGAAACTATTGTGTGCCAAGATACAAGCTACTGAATATTTTTAGAAAGCTACACAACAAATTACAAAAAAAAAATGTATTTGGGTGTAATATAATTATATGGCAATTATGTAATTAACTGAAAAAAGGAATGGGCAGCTTGACATGCACAAAAAAAAAGATATATTTTCAATAATATTAATGCGAAGTGTTTAGCTTGTACGCTAATAAATATATAAACTCACCCTAATTTATATAAACAAACATAGAAAAAGCAGTAACAACTTTACAATACCACTCAAAATATTCAGAGGTCAGTAAGATTTCACAATGTTTTTTAAAGAAGTCTTGTGCTCAGCAAGGCTGCATTTATTTAACAAAAAAAATACAGTATTATTGTGAAATATTATCACAATTTAAATGAACTATTTTCTGTTTGAATACAGGTGCATCTCAATAAATTAGAATGTCATGGAAAAGTTCATTTATTTCAGTAATTCAACTCAAATTGTGAAACTCATGTATTAAATAAATTCAATGCACACAGACTGAAGTAGTTTAAGTCTTTGGTTCTTTTAATTGTGATGATTTTGGCTTACATTTAACAAAAACCCACCAATTCACTATCTCAACAAATTAGAATACTTCATAAGACCAATAAAAACATTTTTTTTAGTGAATTGGCCTTCTGGAAAGTATGTTCATTTACTGTACATGTACTCAATACTTGGTAGGGTTCCACGACATTCTAATTTATTGAGATGCACCTGTATATATTAAAATGACATTTATTTCCGTGATGGCAAAGCTAAATTTTCAGCAGCCTTTACTCCAGTCTTCAGTGTCACATGATCGTTCAGAAATCTTTCTAATATGCTGATTTATGCTCAAGAACCATTTATTCTTATCATCAATGTTTTTTTTGACAGTTGTGCCGTTTAATATTTTGGTGGAAACCATGATACATTTTTTTCAGGATACTTTGATTAATAGAAAGTTCAGAAGAACAGCATTTAGAAAAGCAAATAAATCTTTTGTAACATTATGCATGTCTTTACTGTCACATTTAATACATTTAATGCATTCTTGCTAAATAAATGTATTCATTTTTTCACGCCACAAATCTGAAAGACCCAAAACTTTTGAATGGTGGTGTATTACATTTTTTTTTTTAAATCACTATAAAACAATGTATGATCAAACCATCTGAATCAATAAAATGAATACCCAATATTATGTTACGAGTATCTGATTTTTGCCTCTGCACACATGAGGCTACATGTGTAATATAATGTGACATAAACAACAGTGATGTAATGTTTAGTCATGCCGCCATTACTTGGAGAAAATAGCTTGTCACTGGAAGAGCTACACTATTTTGAAAACAGCTGAGCTACTGTCACGCCACTAAGAATGCAGTCCAGTTAGTACCATCACAACTTGTAGTTAGTTACTCCAAAACACTGGATGATTATGTAAACATTTCCTCCCATAAAAAAGCTTGTTACTGCTGGATCCACAGTTTCAGCTGTTGCCAATTCAGGTTATTTTTTAATACAGCTTAGAGCTTCTGGATGATTTGCCAACTTACTTGATCTAGGGCTCCAGAGGGATGCTCATTGAGGGGAACTCTATGGCTGTGGTCCACTGGTTTTACGGGGTGGGAGAGATCTCAAGGAGAGGGTGCTACGGCGCCACACCCTCCCTGTCATGCAGAACCATCCCACCGGGGAGAGGCAGCAGAGAATGGGCACCCAATGTAACCTGTGCAAGCAGTAAAGCATTGTGTCAGAATTTACAGGCATTTTAGGCTACATTTACACAGCAGTAGAATATGGTCATCAGTCCTATACTGTTACCTATTGTTAAAATATTAATTAAAAAATTTAAAAATTAATTAAAACATGCACTTTAAAAAAAAAAAACAGTAATTGAAATAAAGCTGAAACAAAATAAAATATAATAATACAATTACTGAAACTTAAAACTAAATTAAAAAGAAAACTGAATATATATAATATAAAAAAACTAATTCAAAATATTAAAAACACTATAAAAGTATATAAATGATACTAAAATAACACTGCAGTACTGTTGTCACCCATAGCCTGTTAGATTTCACAAAAGAACTGCCTGGTGGATATAAAACTCTGCATATTTTTTAGCTTTAAAGGTAGCATATACATTTATTTATTTATTTATTTTAAATTAATTATTTGTCATTATTTTAATTATTTATTTTTGTTTGTATTATTAATTAATTTAAATTGCTTTTTTAAATAAACTAAACTACTCTGCATTTACCTATCAGTGTAAAAGGAAAACGTAACCAAACCGCAAAAGCAAGCAGAAGTTATGTAACATCAAGCATACATAAAAGGTAACGCTATCAGTGAATATGAAAATTCTACACACTGAAACAGTCTAGTCATAGATTCATGTGTGTGCAAAATCATTTTTTGCATTGCCATAGCAACTGTAAAGTCTGTTACACTACATCTAGTTATAAGCCACACGAATAAAGCCTCACTATGGCTTGGCAAAGTGTTTATACAATTGCACCATATCCACATCTATAACCTGCTACACATCAGCACAGATTGTGACTTCACAGAGGACCTTGATGGTTAAAAAGTGGGCAAACATTTCCAGCCCATGAAAAAAGACAGCATTTATGACTTTCATCAGTATTGTACGTCTACAGCAATGGAAGTGAATGTCTTAAAAACACTTTTTAGCTTTAGTATCACATACAAAATGGGTCTAGATCCAATTTTTTTTTTTTTTTAAGTAGTCTGTAGGTGCTTTAAATGAAAGTTACTTAAGTGTACAGAGAAAATCTAGCTTTTTAATAACGGAGGTCACTGGATTGACTGAGAGTCTGGGTCTGTAAACCCAACGTGGCTGACTTACTTGATCTAGGGCTCCAGAGGGATGTTCATTGAAGGGAACACTGTGGCTGTGGTCCACTGGGTCTATGGGATGGGAACTGGAGGACAGAGAGGGGGTTACAGAACCATACCCTCCCTGTCATGCAGAACCATCCCACTAGGGGAGGCAGGAGGAAATGTGCACTCAATGCAACCTGTGGATGAATCACAAGAAAAAATTATGGGTTAAGGGAATAAAATCAATTCCACAATCATCAAAATGGCAAATCGCTGTCATTGTGAAAGCCCCTTAAGACACACATTAGCTAACAGTGATGAAAGCCAGCACTGTCTCAAGCTTTGCCATGACGTTTCATGAAAAGAAAGAGGTTATAAAATGACGAGCTAATCTATTTGGATACCGGCTTCGGGCAAGCAGCTGATCGGCGCCGAGCTGTGATCAAATCTGATGATTTGTATACAGCGAGAAGATGAAAGCAAAGATTTCCTGCTGCGTTAATTAAGAACCTTTTACTTCACCTCAACAGATGTGAGACCTAGGGCAGAGAGCACTGATGGTTTGATTGAATGAGTGCTTGTGTGCGTTCTAGATTATAGCAACTAGGAAACCATAAAGCATTTGACTTCAGATGGGCCTTTGTTCTTGTTCCAGACCAGTATTCTCTAACAACAATATTGATTCTCATGGGGCCCTTGAGGAATTTGAAGTGCAGGCTATCAATTTAAGCACCAGTGGGATCATATCTTTTCATTTTTTAAAGAACAAGGCTACCAGCAGATTTAAAACAAAAAACTGTAGGGCTACATTTATTGATAATGAATGATTCGTTCATTACTTTGAAACACAACCTAAATATATAATACAACGGCATGAAATTGAGCTATATGAGCCAAAAATAAGATTAAAATGCATTGGGTATTTAATACAAAAAACTGCCTGGTGTTAAAGTCTGCTTAAGATAAAAAACAAAACAATTCATGTTTTACTGACAAGGTTCCCACAATGTAATGGGAGAGTAAATAAAAAACTGAAACAAGGAGGAAAAAGGGCTATAGGATGCTTGACAACTATTGATTTAGCACCCATTATATGCTCTACAATGCCCCAAAACTATAAGCCTAAATCTATGGGCTACATTTAGCAAATAGTCTATTATAGAGCAGCATAATAGTGAAGCTAGGTGTGAATCCAATGGAATACACACAAAATGAAAGCTACATACTGAATAGCCTAGATAGACACAAATTTCTGTATTATGTGAGAAAAAAAAAAGAGACTGCTGCGTGATTTAACAGCTGTGAAACTAGCACAGCTATACAGAATAAATTGGTTGTAGTCAGTTAATTAAACAGTTTGGTATTCATTAGACATTACATATAAAATATGCAGAATGCCACAAATCAGAATTAAGTATTTCAGAAAGCAATGTGTTAAGTGATCATAACATACGATGAATTTTATATGTAATTATGCAATAGGATTTGGTCATGCATGAGGAATACCGTTCATTAATCAAATTTAGTGTACACAGTGGAAAAGAAAATCTGAGCTTTAAAATGTCAGCAGCATGATCAAAGAATAACAAATGCAGTAGCTGTTGTCTCTTAATGTTTTTTATGAAAACATCATGCAAGCACAGACGATCTCAGCATTATCTTGTGCTTTTTTTTCTTAAACACCGCAATCATATGCTGTCCTAGTACAGAATGATGAGAAAATCAAGATATCATAAAGTCATCAGTACACTTGCAATGCATGCAGGTGTACATTTTGATTTGGAAATGATATTAAACCACACTGGTTTATGCAAATGAGTGGCAATTAAGTACCAGCTATGATAACACATGAGTGAAATGCATCAAATGTGCAAGCAAATGCAGACGACAACCACAAATAATGCAGCACTTCAGTTCCCAACTGTAAAGAACGTCTCCACAGGCCTTTCACATGTTATCTTCTTTAGCTATTAATCATAGAATTGATTTCTCAAACATGTACACAACCGCTCAAAGTTTGGGGTCATTAAGATTTTTTTTCTTGAAAAAAAAAATTAATACTTTTATTTAGCAAGGCTGCATTAAAACGATCGAAAGTGGTTTGTTTTCAGGATCATGTGACATTGAAGACGTGAGAAACAGCTGCTGAAAATAAATTGCATCTTAAAACATTAAAATAGAATTCAATACAAAATAGAATGCATTTCAAATGACATGTGGGCAAAATAATGCATAAAGTCTGAGAACTTTGTGTTTTCTTGACAAACTCTTGTCTATCTATTCTGTTACTCATAAAATATAGGCCTAGAATTTCTTTGAGTGAGATGTCAGGGCACATATTATGACAAACTAAACAAGCATAAACCGAGATTTTGTTGCAACTTGCAAGTCAGAAAAGGAAACTTGTTTTTTTTACTTTTCAAAATACATTCAATAATTCTAGATAATCTAGAATCTGTAGAAAAAGCCAGAAATCAAAAAGGAAAAGGAAACAGACTCCATAATAAGGTATTGGAAATTTTTGTGGATATTTCTTTCAAATTGTAATATAGTTTTTAAATAGGCTAGTTAATAATGTAACAAGACATTAAATATAAATACATTTGACTGAAACACTGAGAAATACGAAAACAGAAATTTCAGGACGCTGCTCACCATGTTTAGTGCATCTAAAATAAATACATTACAATGTTGCCCTTTTGGAAGTCAATGAAGGAGGATGATATGAAAAGCAACTAAAAAAGGACAAAGAAAAGAAAAAGGTGTGTGTTGTCATTCACAAAAGCAAGGCATAAAGCTTTGTTTGAAAAAAGGTCAGAGTTTTACTGCCAGTGACTCCTCTAATGTGTCCACAGTTTGTGTAGTAATTACTTTCATCTCCAAACAATGATAGATCTTACTAACATCTGTATAGATGAGAACTCTGAACACCATTTGCATGCATGTAACATCTGTGTATAGACTGAAATGACTTTCAGGAAAGATTCAAATTCAAAACACTTCAAGAAGCATAATGACAATAACCTCTGGAGAAACAGAGTGAATAAGGGCATAGAAGCTGATTTCACTAAATGTTTCCATCAGTATGCTCTGTTGATAGAATAGCGACGTTAAACTGGACTAATGCAACACAGCAAAATATCTCCCTGATTGTTAGTAATAAGAATCTAATAATAGACTACTTCCCCACTGCTCATTGTTATAAGTACAAGAATCTCTGAATTTACAAACTGAAACACTAACCTAATGATAAAATCTTTCATATTTATTCATTCATTTGCTTAAAGGGGTCATATGATGCTATTTTAAAGATCATTATTTTGTGTAT